CTAGCATAAATTAACAGAATATTGTAATTCAGTGGTCATTAATCTACTGAACCATGAATCCCAGTGATGGCATCCGAGCAAAATTTCACCACGATCGGAATCCGACCCACCTGACTTCCCATCATTCCGACAACTGGAATTCCGACCGACTACCGGAATGATTCGGTCGGAATCCAACAGAATTAAGATTTTGAATTTCTGGCTGTTGGAATTCGACGGTCCTTCGAAAATGTTCGCTCGGAGTCCGGCTGTCGAAATTCCGGGCGACCGTCGGTTAAAGGCCATCAGCAGTTCACAGCATAAGATTCCGCAGTTTCGCTATTTTCAGAAAAGAATCTGCGCTATTGGGTGATTTTGTTTGCATTCCAAGCAACAACTGACTTTCTGAAACACATCACGTCGGCGGCACTCATTTCAATACACTTATATAGTATATATTACGTTAGCAGTATTAGGAATGCCATTTTCAAACTAATGCTGTTCTTAGGTTTTATCGGTAATAGAGAATGTGGGTAGGTTGGAGATGTTGCTCATGATAATCCTATAGAACTGCATCATTGATCACGTTGAAGTGATCAAATGTGCAGAGTTTGGCGGTTTTACTGAATGGCTCAATGGTTTTGAAATAGCATCACAAAATCACCTATAGCCCTTAAAGATGGTAACATCTATAGAGCCGTAGCAACGCAATGATCGATCAATAGTGGTAGAATGTATATGAACCGGCGATTTTACGCTTGTTGTTGAGTATCCTTATGAAATTGGCTACATCTCCTCAAAAAAGCGGAATTGCTCAGCAAGATATATGTTTTTCTGAATGTACAGATTCCGTTGGATCGAATGGTGCACAAAAATTCGTATATTATTGGGCAAACTTGAGAATACGGTAGCCTTGAAGGTGGCACTCGTATTGCCCTGAGATAGTATTAATAAAATGCCTATATCTCCTCAACTAAGCCAAATTGCTCAGTGAAATTTATAACATTCTGAATCTAAAGGTTCTGCTGGATCGAACGGTGAAAAGAAATTCACATGTTTCCGGTTAAACCTGAGAAGATGGTCAGCTCGAAGATAGCAATCCGCCTATTGCTATATGAACGTATTCATTGATCTATAGTGATCAATTTGTATGAATGAGCGCGACTGCGCTATCTATTTGGGATAGATCTAAGAAAACGGCTATATATCCTCAAGTAAGCAAAGTCGCTCGGCGAAATGTATGTTTTTCTGAATGTAAAGATTCCGCTGGATCAAATGATGCCAAGAAATTCACATGTTACTGAGTTAACTTGAGATTATGGTAGGCTAGGAGATGGCCACCCGTGTAGCATTGAGAAAATAGCTACATCTCCTCACCTACTCATAATTGCTCGGCAAAGGATACGATATTCTGAAAGTAGAGATTCTGAGCAATCGAATGGTGCATAGAAATTCATATGTTACCGGTGAAAACTGAGTGTACGGTTACCTTGAAGATGGTAATCTCCATAACGCTGGAATAATGTATATATTTTCTTACAGCGATCGGAAGTATATGAACGATGAAATTACCGTAGGCCCGAAGGTGGCAACCCGTATAGCACTGAGAAAATACCTATATCTCCGCAACTAAGCCAAATTCCTCAGCAATAAATGTATTTTTCTGAATATTGCGATTCCACTAGGTCGAACGGTGTAAAGAAATTCACATGTTTCTGGACAAACTTGAGAATACGGTAGTAGTACCTCCAGGCCCGCTTAACTACGGTAACTAGCCACGCCCACAAATTACTTTATAATACCATAAGTTGTGGACGTGGCTAGTTACCGTAGTTAAGCGGGCCTGGAGATACTACTGACGGCTTCTAGTTCAAGAAAAGCAGTTCGTATCTTACTGCACGATACGTCCAACTACTTGAGATATAACTTTGATCGCGTTTTGACTTATTCGGACCCATTGATAATCATTAGAGACACCAGATATGATCTTTACACTCATATCGTGTCAAATAATTCTTTATGTGTGACTTGTGATTTAAAGAAACTCTATCTTGTTGCACAGAAAATGCAGTCGCTTGAGATCGTACTCCATACTTTGGCTTATACTATCATGCTGATACTGTTGATAAGCATCAGATATGTCATGACCCTTACCCTCAAATCTTGTCAACGCTGTAACGTCTCCTGATTATCATCTTAAAGAGTATGACTTCTACTTCATGAAAATTAAACATCTTGGCATACGAAAAGCGCAATTTCTTGAAACATAACTTTATAAACGAGTAACACTTTCACTTCAGTGACTACAATGGATAATGTTGATCATACTGTTGTATTTTACGCCACACTGAATTACGAAACACCATATCATTCATTTATAAACAACAGTAAAAAAATTCATAGAAACAATCAAATTCATTTATAAACACACAACATCATAAAATCAAATTCCCAGAAACACAATATTAATCGTGGATACACAATGCAAAACAATCAACAAGATGAATAAAATTGCAAGCATAAAGCACAACCTTATTAGCATTAACCCGTCACTGACTAACGAATTCGCTCGGCAACAATAGTGAACGATAACGAAAACTGTAATAACAATAGGTACGCAATGATTATCTCAGGCATATAACATATGAGGTGATACGTGATAAAATTGGTGATATACGATCCTTGTTCATGTATTCCGATTGCCACTCGTTCAACAATAGACTGAAGTAAAAATGGCTGATTAATTTCTATTTCTTCACTGAAGATTTTATCATTACCTCAAAATTTGAATGAAATTTAATTATGAACTTATAAATTTGACTAAGTTCGAAAAGACTCAACAATAAATTTCCATGAAAATTAAAATACTTTGATTAAAATAATGAAATGTCAAAATAAATGAAACAAAATAACAGATGAATTTCATCAAAAACTAACTTTGAAATGAATAATTCACATTGTTTACTGTTTTCGGTATTATTATTATCATCATTATCGGCCGTGAATGAAACATTTCTATTGATCGTTAATAATATTAATGATGATCGATAAGGAGACGAGTCTGGATCACACGCACCTTGTAGACTCAGCGGTGTATCTCCTCGCAATTTATCAATGCCTATCGATAGAACTGATATTCACTCTAGCAATAATAGTAAATAATAAAGATGAATAAACGAAACAAATGAAACGAACCATCTAAAATAACGGCTTTCGAGTCTTTTGATAAAAAATTGTGGATATCTTCGTCTAATTTATCACGTTTTGTGGATGCATTTAATGAAATATTATTAATATTCGTATAGTTATTGGATATTTGTTGTTGATCTGATGTAACACTGATGAATATATTCAAAATGTCATTCGCGAATAGACTGGCACGGTGACCAACAATCAATACCACGTATGGTTCAACTTCATCCTGAAATTTAAATTATCTATAAAATTATTTTCATCGTACAATTATTGCTTCACGCGATGTTTTACACGACGATCGAGAGCAACGAACGAAATCTTAAAATCTTACAAGATACACGCAATATGCCAGTCCACCTACCTCCCCCTTTATGATTAGTTTTTCACCCATAAGTCGAAGAATATCCCTCGCTTTCACATCTGTCCCGGGATAATTTTTCTTCAGCAACCTTCCCGTTTCATTTTTGTATCTGAAACTTTCAGGAATTCACTTTAAGGAAACTTTTATTTCGAGTGGAAATCTGAACTGAAAAAGTATAAGTCATTAAATCATTAATGCGATCGGATTAACTTTAAGTTGAACTCACAACTAACCGATCAAAAGCTTGATTCCTTTGATCAAAAGCTTGATGAAGCTCATTTCCACCTTTCAAGAACCAAATAAGTGCCATAACAATAATAAGAACTGTCAATGAAAAAATCACCACTTTGTCATATCCTGAAAAAAGAAATTTAATGAAAAAATTTGGTTGAGTCATGATCATTTGAAATAATTGATTACCCGTTTCCGGACTATACGAAAGATTCGAGTTAGAACGTGATCTTGGTAAAATACGTGAATATTCCTCTCCCTCAAGTAGCTCGTCATCATTATCATCGCCGCATTCACCACCCATTTCATACTCCTTATCGTTGCCATCAACGTCCGAGTGAGATATATCACCTTCATCAGCCGTATTAAATGATCTGAAAGAACTGATTTAAAGTTTGCTTTTATCACTATCGAAATGATGGCTCATTAAGATCAACAATAACACCTCATAAACATACCCTTCAATGGACTGATCAAGTTCAGGATACAACCTATTCCTATGTCTAACACCGCTATCAAATGAGGGATGATCAGGCATGGACTGATAATCAGACTCGAACTGATTACTCAATGGTGCATCAAATGACTGACGACGGTTTCTGTCGTTACTGTGTGAACGAAGACTTCTGCGACGTTCTGCACTCATTTTTTCGTGGATTTCGCTGAAAAGTTTGATAAATTTTATTAAGTTCACGTCAAATAATAACTAATTGAAAGCATAAAGTGACTAACATAAAGCGGGGTTTTTGATTTCAACCATAGACGTTGGATGACAAAAGTACAAAATCAATCGAACAAACGATTATGATCATAAAAATGATATTTAATAACGAATAAAATAATAAAAACTGTGGTCATATGTAATAACTATATTAGTATATTCAGCTGATGTTTCACATCAATCGAGTCCTGAAGTGCGGAATTGTTAAAGTTCGTTAGAATCGGAACAGCGCGAGAATGTAACTGGTTCGAATGTCAATGATAAACGCCCTCATCAGATGATGAGAGGATCATGCAGTGCTAGGATGAAGATATGTGGAATTTTTTAATCATTTTGATCTACCCTTTCGGGCATTTGATCTCATTCCTAGCTGTGCGCTATTCTTGTGCGATCTGGTCCGTTTTTTTCTGTTGTTTTTCAGAACATTGCTGAATGGAATCGAAAATTCAGCAATCATTTGAAATTTCAATTTCAGTGAATTCAGTGAAATTCAGCAATTGGAATTTCA